CGGTCTTCCAACAGCCAGGTCTTAGGGTCGAACAATTCGGCATCGGAATTTCCCGCTCCATGCCTTCAGCATGTTTGACTGCTGTACCTTTTTTCTTTTGACTTCTCGTGTCGCGGAACACGAGAATCCTGGAAATCCCTAATTTAACGAAATTAGGCGACGGCTCTTAAGACTTGGCTGACAATAGGCCTGAGGGCTCCACGTGGTCCGCACACGTTGGAAGCCTCAGGCCTTCGCTAGGGGTAACAAACGGCCGATGGGGTCACCGGCGCGCGGGTGAACCCCAGGTACCCCACCTTGGAGGAGAGGGTTTCCTCCACTATCGTGGTTTTTCGGGGGAACCTTCCCTCACTCCAAGGTAACGGATTCGCGGACCAAGGGAACGCCCTTGGTCAAAGAACTTCCGAACGAGCTCTCAGAGACATCGGTTCTCTTGAAAACAGTTCTCTTCGAATCATCAACACGCCACGGTTCTTTTCGAACGTTAGACCGTCGTAGAGGCGACGCTTTTCTGCTCGTGCAACTGAAACAGTTGCCCAATATTCATTTGGCGGGCAACACGTGTCGTAGTCGTGAGACGGCCGTACAACTCGTCCCTGAAACACGAGAGTTTAGATCGCGACTCGACGCGACAATTACAGTTCTTTCTCAATACGAGTTGATACCAATTTTATTCTTAAAGCAGGTGTATGTGATCGGTGATTGTTAAAAGGAGAATTCTGGGACCAGTCATTTTGACTGGGTTGGTAGTTCTATTGTTAAGAGTTAGTTAGAAGTTGAGATTAAATCAGATCCAGTCCCTAGTCTGCGGAAATTTAGAGCCAAACTACTCTCCAGCGAAGTAGAGACTGTGTGACTCTATAATTTTTTGAAAATGAAGCTTTTATATAGGTATGATTTATGTACAATTTATTTATTTCTGAGATTCCACATAACGCGATACAAATTCGCTCAATTTGTATTATTTCTGAATTTCTTACAACGCGATTCCTATATAACGTGGCAGTGGTTTCCGTATAACGCGGTATAAATTAGTCTGATTTGTCTTATTACTATCGTAGTATCGCAGGATTACCACCTCGTGTATAGGTGACTTTAGTTTGGAAGGTCGCCGAGGGTTCGAGGGCCAGGTCGGTCGGAAAAACCCTGGCGATGCGCCAGGCCCTTAGCATGACCATATTTGGTCATGTTGGGGGAGGCTTTTGGGGAATATATATAAGAAGACAAAAATGGTTAGTGGACAGTTCTTGTGTAGTTTTCGAGGAGTCTTTAGAACGGAGTTGTATAGAAAGAAGGTAAATTGTCAGTCGTTTAGTTGTATTTGTGTTGTGAAATCAAGCTGTAATCTTAAGTCGTTAAGTTGTAGTTGTAATAGTTTATGTATCTATATTCTTAGGCTTAATCGTCACCACATATAGTATTATTATTACATTACTAATAAATAGTTCTTATTTATTGAACCACCACCCGTGTCTCTACACTATGTTTCTCATAACGCAGTTTACATAGAACGCAGTTCCTGATTTCAATTAATTGTGATTTTCTTATAACACAGTTTCCATATAATGTGTTAATGAATTAATCGCGTTATAGGAGACTTGACTGTATAATACACGAGAATGATAATTAAATTCATTGAGTTTTCGTTAAATTTCTTTTCTTTTTTTAAAGAGAAGCAATATTCTTTTGTTTTCTTTGCTGATAAGTTCCTATCTATATTATTTTATAACAAATTCACTTACGTTTTGCATTTTTAATAGCATCGTTATTTTTTTATATTCTATATTCTATAAATTCATTTGTAAAAATATTATTTATCTTAACTTTAATTTCAACGGCCTCAAACTGATTGGTTTCTGAACCCAATATATATATATACATACATATGAGTGACACAGATAGTATGTAAAAAGCTAATAGACGATTTAACGGGATTAACGGGAGAAAGTAAGGAGCAAAAAGATAAAAAGTACCATGATACATACCTTCAAGGTGTAAAGGTATCCGGGTTCAGAGCTCATACCCCTAGGCCACCAGAGATTGGGGTACGGTACATGCAGGGTACCGGAAAATCCGTAAACAGGCTCCTTCACGGCTAAAATATCCTCCGCATCGGTCAAGGTCACCCTACAGATAGGAACTTCATTCTCGTGCAAGCCTGCTGGTTGAATTATGTACTTTACAATACCGGTATCACCGATTACACCTGTCCTCACAGTGATATCTTCGATATAGACGCGTGGTTTTGTATGCAGTAAAACAGGCCTGTAATTTAAAAATACCGCATTAACGGTTTAATCTTATCCGACATCTCGTTGCCACGTGAAAGCCGGTGAATTCGGTCGTATATCCTTTCAATCGCAAATAAATTGTTCTGCGCTGGTAATTTGCTTTTGTTCGTCTCGCAGTATCTAGTCGTCATTGTGAAATTTTGTACGGGCCAGTGAGTGACCTGGACCATTTTATTTCCAAGCTGACACTCGACAGTTAATTGCTGCACGTTGTACATTTGTTTGTGTTCGTCTCACAGAGTCCGGATATCATTGTGAAATTTTTTATGGCTCAACATAGCGAACGAATCAAATTAAATTAGCCTTTCTTTTTTAAATTAGCACACTACGCAGTTCGCTGTTGTACATTATACGTTTGTTTCGTTGAATAAACGGCGAATGATTGATATTTCATAGCATGTTAAATAATTTAAGTATGGGGGGTTTTATTAATTATTTATGTTGAGGTCTTCTTTGTTCCTTCGGGTGGTATATGCTTCTTATGAAGTTTGTTGTCTCTTGTGATTCTATATAATAGGCTGGTATGTTCTGTGGTGCTGGTTTGTTGGTATTCCTGTGATCGTCGTTGCTATCGATAGGGTAGTAGGTACTTGGAAGGACGACAGGAAAAGGAAGGGATGCGTTTCGTGCCGGGCCTGCTAGCGGACTCATCAGCAAGCCTTTCTTCTAGCGGACTCTGCCTTAGACCGAGGATACTTAGATGGCATAGGAACTTCTATTTAACGAGTTAGCTGTGGCGCCCCCCTTTTCAGAGCGCGCACCTATGTGTCGCGAAAATCGAGCGACGACGAGTATACTCGTCAATCACAGAGTAAGTGACGCTGTTAAAATATTGGATTAAAAAGATGAGTTTATTTTATAAAATTGACAATTTTATTACTAATATTTATGTTCCCACGCGTCGCGAATTGTATCGAAGTTATTTCCTTCTTATGAACGCGGGGGGTCTCTCTAAAACACTCCGTCTAACCGATTCAAATCAACAACACGCCACGGTTCTTTTCGAAACGTCGACCGTCGTAGACACTATTCTTTTCTGCTCGTGCAACTTAAACAGTTGCCCAATATTAATTTGGCGGGCAACACGTGTCGTAGTCGCGAGACGGCCTTACAACCCGTCGGAAATACGAGAATTTCGATCGCGACGCGACAACAAGATATACCGTCTCTAATGACCCAGATGTCAAGATTAAATTCGAATACAAAAGAGAAAAGAATGGCTCTGAACTATGTGATACATATCCACTAAATTCATATATTTTTGCAACAAAATTGCTAATATATTTTATAGCGTAAGAAACGGAAACTAGCTTTTGTTCACGCTTTAAGATTTTCCCTTAAATTGTTTATGTTTTCACCATTCTAATAAAGTATCATACAAGAATATTGTTTCTGGTTGTTCATCTTATATTCGCACGTTGAGCTATGTACTGTGCGTTTCTGAAAAGAAGTCCGCTGCGCGAAACGTAGGACCGAACCCCCACCAACCCACCCATTCTAACGTCATCGCAGAAGTAGAGCGTTTCCCTTATTGGCAGAAACGATCCCTTCCTACTAGCCCGGTCATATATAGCACTGTGTAACAAAGAAAGCGAATGAAACAATCGAAACAAAGTGAGTCAAACGTTACAAATAGATGCAAGAGCGCAGACTTATCCCTAAAGCAGTAACTTCAGATTCTTCTGACGAATGTCCATTTCCCAATTTTATTTAACTATACATATATTTGGGATGCTATTTGTTCCCACGCGTCTCGAATTGCATCGAAGTTATTTCCTTCTTATGAACGCGGGGGGTGCTCTAGACGTTTTACGGTCTAGAGCTGTTACTGTTGTTTGGTAGCTCGAATGTTAATCTGCTTCCACCTCACTCCTTCCCTCGAAGTCGCGATTCTAACTGACGGTTTTTATGTGATAGTTTCAGAGTTCGAGTGTGACTGTTCGACTGTTTGAATTTGACTGTTTGAACGTTGTGGTTTGACTGACTGACCCTTTTGCGTTAGTCAGTTCCTCGCCTTGGCATGTCGAGGATGCGCGCTGATTGGTTGTTTAGAAGAATGTTAATTTCCCAATTAGCGGCATCCTAAGTGTTGTGATCACGCCTTCCATGCACCCTTGGCGCGCCTTCTCCTGCAGGGGTGGTATGACACTTGAGCAGGCGTGAGGTCATGGGTTTTTCCTAAGGGTTACGGTGTTCGTCTAGGTCCGGTGCGTCGGTAGTTTGTTACCCTTAGCGGGACTTCGGGATGACCCTTCAGAATTACCGAGGTTTATAACACGCCCTTTGGCTATTGAGCGTAGGCGAAATGAAGATTTGAAAGAATATTAGTTTCATTGCCCCCCAATATACCGAGAGCCCAACTCTAAAATAGTCTGTCTTTCCGATCGTGTTATAAACCTTGGAAATACCGACCTCACGGCTTATTTAGCGATGCCAAGGCGGGATACACCATATGCACCACGGAACAATTTACTTATTTGGTTAACATCTATTCTCTTATTGGTTAGTTTTTATGCATATCTATGAATTTTAGTGATGGTCAAAAAATAGCTAGGTAACATCAATGGGCTCAGTGTCTGGTCAGCGTCATAATAATTTGAAACGCATTCTGAGAAACTGAAATCAGTCGTTAATTACATAAACAATGTTCTGAATTACTTTACCATTAAAAAATACCAATGTTACGATTGCGTTTGTATAAATTAAAACATTAATTTCAACATTAATTATGTACCCAATCTAATGACTATAATATTTTTTGCCCCATTGCAAAAATATTTTTGTATTTTTACAAAGCAGAAAAGATAAAAATATAAAATATGGTATAACGTAATAACATTAATGATAAAATATAAAATACCAAAAAAATTTCGTTTAGATTTTTGACACAGAGCACTCCCATAGTTATTTCCACACTTATAAGAGAGTTTTTATTTTATTTCTTGAATTTCCTTCCTTTTCTAATTCTTAAAATTTTATTCTTATCTTATTCGTTTGATCGAAGATACTCGATATGTTTTATTGCTAGAAGCAAGGCGTAAAAATATGAAAATAAATATCGTCTTACCTGTGTATGCCGGCATAGTTGAAAAAGTCGAAAGTGTAAGTCTGCGTGTGTATTGTTCCATTATCGACTGCGAGATCCATAATTTTCCCTTGTGGCACGCTAGTCTGGAGCAAAGTATTATCGACTACGACAGTTATCCGATTTTTCCCGCCATAAACTAAATAGGAAGATATTTCAGCTTCAAATGGAAGATGACCCATTTCATGGTTGGTAACTAATCCGCCATTAACCCACTGGAATATAAAAGAAAACAAGGAGATATTTCGTGTACAGTCAAGTCTCCTATAACGCGTTGTTTTCGTAACGCCATTTTCACATAACGCGGAGCGAAAATTGGGATAGCTCTCTGTTAATCCTTGAAACACCGTTTCCGGTATTCCGTTCATCCCTTTGTTTAGGACAGACTGTGTATCTAAATGTGAAAGCTCTGAAATTTTACAAGTACCAGTGTTACGGCCCTAGGACCGCAATGTCCCAGGTCAAGTGGAGGACTGTTTTATGTCCTTATTGTCAGCGTCCCTTGACTTCTATACACTCGTTGTCACCTAAGCCACCACCTGGGTAAACCGTAACAAGCAACGATATATCACCCTTAAGACGACAGGCATAAGGACCCAGATTGTTTAAACAACCACCACCACCGAAAGACGCTGGAGCTAGCACACACCTCCAATATTATTCGCAACCAATCAGTAGACAGACGAAGCTTATAAAACCACCCACAGAGCAGACACGAAGAGAGTTCTCCTAAAATACAGTCCACTCACCACTTCGAAGCTAGACAGAACCGTGTGTCACTAATCGTCGCCAACTAAGATCGACCTAGTGACGATATACACTCTCCTATAACACGGTCCCTTATAAGGCATTTTTCGTACAAGAGCATTCCACCATTCAAATGACTTGAAAAATTTATCTATGGCAACAGTAAACATTGCTCCTGTTTTGAGTGCTGGAGGATTTTCAGATATAAATCACGAAGATGTAGAAGAACTACAATACTTCACGAAGAGAGTTTAACACGTCAAGTGCCCAGCCCGTTTTGCTTGCTATTCCGTTCAGGTCCAGACTCGGCCGTCAAGTGGACCACTGACAGTGGGCGAAGTGTTCATAAAACTCGGAGATACTGTACCAATTGTTATAACAGGAATTCCCAAACGTTAGGTCCAAAGATGGCGAAGAATTTAACTGAAGCGTAGGTTAAGGAAAGCATAAAAGCGTGGTCCTTGACAACCAAAACTGAGTCCTTGGAAATCGGTTGTGACCAGCACAAGCGTGAGTCGCTTGGTGTTGGAAATTCCGTAAATCCAGTGTTAAGAAAAATTTCACCAAACATACCTAATCGTTGTAATCTTTTTGTGACGTGTGTATATTATAATTTGTAATAAATATACAATTGTTAAACAGCAAACTCACAGTAAGCCCTAAATAAAGGAAAATTATTTTATACTCTTTTTGTCATTTTTATGGGAAATTTCTTGGTGTCTGCTTGCATCTTTCAGGGACACCTTGCAAATAGCTTTATGTATGCATCTGGAAATATATATTGTTTAACGTCTTTATTTTCTGAAGTTGGTATGACTGGGTTTTCAGAGAAAGGGCGGTAGTGTAGAGAAAAGATATTAAGAGAAGAATACGTGTGCAATTGAATATTCAAAGAAACCAAAGATAGATAATTTCGTTGTTGCTTTATCATTTATTCTTTTATTTAAATTTTTACAGTTAGCTTCTTTACAAATGTTTAAACAGCATTTGAATAAATAAACTGAATAGAAGGGCACAGTGTAAAAAATTCTCTCATAACCTCAATATATATGCAACAGAATATTGAACCTAACCTAATCTAACCTAACCAAATAAATGTATAAATGCACTTGAATAAATAAATTGAATAGAAGGGCACAGTGTCAAAAATTCTCTCATAATCTCAACATACATGCAATAGAACACTGAACCTAACCTAATCTTACCTAACAAATGCATGCATAGCACTTGAATAAATAAACTAAATGGAAGGGCAAAGTGTCAAAAATTCTCTCATAACCTCAATATATATGCAACAGAATGTTGAACCTAACCTAACCTAACCTAACCTAACCAAATAAATGTATAAATGGCACTTGAATAAATAAACTGAATAGAAGGGTATAGTGTCAAAAATTCCCTCATAACCTCAATATATATGCAACAGAATATTGAACCTAACCTAATCTAACCTAACCAAATAAATGTATAAATGCACTTGAATAAATAAATTGAATAGAAGGGCACAGTGTCAAAAATTCTCTCATAATCTCAACATACATGCAATAGAACACTGAACCTAACCTAATCTTACCTAACAAATGCATGCATAGCACTTGAATAAATAAACTAAATAGAAGGGCACAGTGTCAAAAATTCTCTCATAACCTCAATATATATGCAACAGAATGTTGAACCTAACCTAACCTAACCTAACCTAACCAAATAAATGTATAAATGGCACTTGAATAAATAAACTGAATAGAAGGGTATAGTGTCAAAAATTCCCTCATAACCTCAATATATATGCAACAGAATATTGAACCTAACCTAATCTAACCTAACCAAATAAATGTATAAATGCACTTGAATAAATAAATTGAATAGAAGGGCACAGTGTCAAAAATTCTCTCATAATCTCAACATACATGCAATAGAACACTGAACCTAACCTAATCTTACCTAACAAATGCATGCATAGCATTTGAATAAATAAACTGAATAGAAGGGCACAGTGTAAAAAATTCTCTCATAACCTCAATATATATAGAACAGAATGTTGAACCTAACCTAACCTAACCTAACCAAATAAATGTATAAATGGCACTTGAATAAATAAATTGAATAGAAGGGCACAGTGTCAAAAATTCTCTCATAATCTCAACATACATGCAATAGAACACTGAACCTAACCTAATCTTACCTAACAAATGCATGAATAGCACTTGAATAAATAAACTAAATAGAAGGGCACAGTGTCAAAAATTCTCTCATAACCTCAATTTATATAGAACAGAACATTGAAAATGTTTGACAGTAAAAATTGTTAAATATCCTATAGCTATAACTAGATAAATTATAACGTATATAAAAATGTATGTATGCAAACTGATTTTGGAAAATTTGTGGAATATATTCAATTAGGCTATTCCTTTTTAAATAGTGAAATGATCAAATTATTTTACTAGAAATAGCCTCTATTAGATCAATACAACGACATTAAACTGGACGTTAAGGGTAAGCAAAAGCATAACAGCTAAAAAATATAGAGAAAGGTTTAAGTCATTAATGGTGTAATGTTTAAGAGATAAATTGGTATTTAGGCAAAGGTGAACTATTTATGTCGTTAATAATATAATATTGAAAAAATAAATTAACGATAAAAAGCGGAAAAAGAAAATTAATAACACAGTGTTGAAAAAATAAATAATAAAATATACAAGACAAAATTGAAGTTGTTAAAAAAATAAAATAGTGTTAACAAAATAAATTAATATTTAAGAAAAGGAAATGTTTAAGGTTAATATTTAAAAATATTAAAATTTAAACCATTAATAGTATATTATTTATATCCTATATGTTTCGTTATACAAATTTCCTTTGTTCTCTTTTCGAACTTCTTTTCTAAAATTAAGAAGATGTAATTCTTTGAAAATTTTATCTGTATTTGATTTGATTAAAATATAAAAAATACTAGATTTAATAAAGACAACAATCTGTAAACATGCATGTATACTAATAAAGAATTATGAAATAAAAAAGAGAAAAAGAAAAGTAATATAAATAAATTAATATATTATCATGTAATTAATTGATAATAACATCATGCATAATTAATAAAATAATTACCACTTGGGCGAGATAGTTGACAGAGCCAAATCTAACAAAGACCCTTTGTTCTCGCCAAGATGGAGGCACGAAGAAGGTTCGATGATACCAAACTGCTCCCACATGATCTCTGAGGTCTCTGGAGGTTGTGATGTCGTTGTATGACGAAGGTACAGGCATTTGCATCACCTTCCCTACCTAGACGAAGCGGTACACCTACATAAGTGAATCCTCGTTGACAACGTGTAATTTTGCGAAATTAATATTTACGCAACCTCGAGTTCTGTACGTTTATGCAACAGGTACGAATAGATGTATTATAACGGTCAGATACTAGCACGATTTTACACTCATTTTATACCGTTTAAAAACATTTGCGTCGAAATTTATTAATTTGTATAATTGAATTTATTTATTTTTTTCGAATAGAAAGGAGTAATTTGATTAAAAATTTATAATTACGATTTACCATTATTAATGATTTCAATGTTACAATTGTGAAATAATTTTTATTTTGCATCTTAACATTGTTTTAAATTGTTTAAATTTATACAATTAAAGAAAAAATTAATACCATAACAATGAAATTTTTTAATTTACATAGTTCAAATTAATTTATTTTTATCGAAGAAAAAAGAGTAATTTGATTAAAAATTTATAACTACGATTTACCGTTATTAATGATTTCAATGTTACAATTGTGAAATAATTTTTATTTTGCATCTTAACATTGTTCTAAATTGTTTAAATTTATACAATTAAAGAAAAAATTAATACCATAACAATGAAATTTTTTAATTTACATAGTTCAAATTAATTTATTTTTACCGAAGAAAAAGGAGTAATTTGATTAAAAATTTATAATTACGATTTACCATTATTAATGATTTCAATGTTACAATTGTGAAATAATTTTTATTTTGCATCTTAACATTGTTTTAAATTGTTTAAATTTATACAATTAAAGTAAAAGATTAATAACATAACAATAAAATTTGAATTTAAATTTTCTAATAAAAATAATATATTAAATATTAATTTCTTTCTTTAGTTCTGATTAATAATAAAATTATCATACAATTTGTAGAAAAAATTACATGATATGTACTTTGTAAATGCTACATATGATATTTATTATTATTATTATTTACTGTATAATGTACTGATGCAATAAATAATAATAAAATAATAGTATATATTTATTTATATTTATATTAACATTATATTACGTAATAATAATGTTGATAAAATAATAATAATAATATAATTTTTTTAAACTGTTTTTACAATACCTTTGATAGTTCATCAGCAAACCATGCTTCTTTGTAACCCTTTAGCGAGTCTTCTGTAGGAGAAATCACGAAATCCCACATACCATCTAGAGATTTCACCTTAATGAAAAATCAATTCGTTATTTACACTGTTGGATAATTCAATTAATTATGCAAGTATTTTTATACAATTATGGAAATTTTTCCATGTTCAGAGAAATAGTTTAGGAATTTTTTTTACGGATTTTAATTAAATAAACTATATAATCAAATAAATTATATATAACTAATAGCGATAACTAATAATTCAATTTATATATTAAGAACAATTAAGTAAAAATTTATATTACGTTGCGAAAATTATTTTTTTAGATAAGGTTTACTTAATGGGAAATCAGAGATATTTTTAATCATTGATATGTCGAATTTTGATTATTTAAAATGTGAAGCAAGTATATAGAGAGACTCACGAAAATATTCGAACACCAACGTATGTCTGAATTAATCACATCGTATCGCAGATACGTTGTACCCGTGTTGCTTAAGAGTTCTCCGAATTGTTTCGGGATGAACTTGTATTCCATTAATATCCATAATACAGATGTAAAAAGAATGGTGTGACGAAAAGCGAATCAAGAGTTCCACCATCGAAACACGAGAGGTATCGTTAAACACCCCGGAGGCAGCGAGATGGTTTGGGCCTGTATTTCGATCAGAGGAATGGACAATTTAGTTTTTATTGACAACATCATGGACAAAACTGTCACTTACACCTACTGAAAAATAATTTATTAAATAGTGAAGAAAAAATGGGAATTCGCGACAATTTTAAGTTTTATCAGGATAACGAGCCCAAACATAAAGCACGCATTGTTCAAGAATTCTTGCTTTATCGTTGCCCGAAAGTTCTTCATCCTCCACCACAATCGCCGGATCTCAATCCCATTGAAAATTTATGGATAAGTTAGATCGCAGAATACGAAAGACAGCAATTAACTCAAAAGAGGAACTAAAACAAAGGTTGCTGGAAGAGTGGGCTGCTATCAGTACGAATTATTTGGAAAAAATCATTTTTTAATATGCCCAACAGATTGAGGCACGTATCGAAACAAAGAGGATATGCGACAAAATATTAAAACATGTGTTTATATAAATAAATTAGGGTTATATAATGTTATTTATGCCAAGTGTCCGAATATTCTTGTGACGTGAAAATAGGGTATTATTTTATTTATAATTTGTTATAGTAAATCCATATAAATTTATTAAATAAAACACATGGTTTTGTTAACTTAAGTAAACATCTTATGCCCAGAATAAATAACGAACACGATCCGTGTATAAGTATCTGCGATACTAATTGATTAATTCAGGCATACCTTAGTGTCCGAATATTTTCGTGAGTCACTGTATATAATTTCTAAGCGATTCGAAGTACTTCAAATCTCACCATTAGCTATCGATAAAACCAGTGATCGCTGTTGAGCAATTAACTAACTCGACTAACTCACGGCAACTACCGACGATGAAAGTAAAAGATTCGAATTACCTCTCTAGATTCACTCTCTCTGGGATACAGCATGCCAGGAAGAGGCGATGGTGCCTCTTCTTCCCGAGGCAAAGGTGAGTACTCAATTGGAGTCTCGGGGTATTCGATCTCCGGACCCGATTCTCCTCCCATCACCGCGCTGATAAAAAGAAACGTTAAACACCACATTTCTCGTCGTTTTCCTGGAACAAAAAAAGCAAACGAGGATTTAATATTCCTCTTCATTCTGAACCTTCTAATGCTCTTATACAACATAGCATGACGCAAATTGTGCGTAAATAATTTAGTACCGCGATTTGTATCTGGTAGCGTTGAAACAGACGTAAGGAATTTATAACATGGCCTGAAAGAATTTAGATCTAGTGGAAAAGTCTTTCCCACTGTGAAAGAAAACTCAAAAATCTTGGGTCAGTTGTCGAGAAGAGACGTACCCTGTCAGACATGCTCCTCTAAGTATTTACAGAATAAAACCTTTAATCTCTGTTGCAATACGATTTTACTTTATCCACGCTTTAATTCTTACCCGACTCCCTTTCTTATTCAATAGGTAGTGTTTTTAACCCTTTGTAGTTCAAACATATTCTGTTATAAAGCTGACGAAATTTTTTCAGCAGTAAATACGAAATCGTATAATAATTAACACGTAGAATTATTCGATTTCGATACCTCTTACACTGTGTAGGGACACATGCCAGATGCGGAAAGCGAAGGACTTTCGTATATTTTCCACTCCTTCGCGACGTCGAGGACTTCAGGTCAATGGGGACCTGGTTTATGTCTTTACAACCAGGGCCCCATGACTCGCGGATGCGCAGACCACCTCGACGTCTAATGTGCAGGAAAAACAGTTCAGTTGGTTTACGCCTTCAGAAAGACTAGGGTCTTTCCCAAAACGTAGGCTTTGCATTTCCGCATCTGCCCCCCATTTATAAACCTCGCGTCCTCCACCTTCCACTGTTACACTATTTTAAATTTTACATATTAACCGCTTGACTACGGCAGATTTTGATACGCAACGGCCGTACCATACGGCAGGAATTGAGTTACGATGTGCGCCATTTTTGTGAAAACAAGCGCCCTCCGTGGCAGAAAGCTAAACTACGCCGAGCGCCTATAGGCACCTTCCGTGTCACAAACGCAAAATTTCTAAGCGCCCATAGGCACCCTCCGTGTCACAAACGCAAAATTTCTAAGCGCCTATAGGGGCCCACAGTAGTCAAAGTGTTAATTAATATCGATCTTCGAACTTTTATCAAATTTCGACCGAACGGCGCCTATCGAGTCCAAAGGGTTAAGACTAATGCTAAAGTAGAGTTACAGATGAATAAATTATTGTGGGATGCTATTTTTAGAAAAACAAATCGAAAACCGGCCAATGACGATGCAGGGTCTTATTTCCGGAAAAAATCGGAAATCGACTAATACCATTATGGAAGTCTGTTTTCAGAAACAAGCTAACCGAGTTACGAGGTCTTTGCACGGGGCGAAACGCAGGTCAGCGGAATCGTATTCTCACAAGGGGCGAATCGCGAATCGGCACGGTGACGTAATTTTCACGGGGGCAAATCGCGAATCGGCTGAATCGGATCAGCCAATTAGCGATTGATAAAAGCACGTCGTGGAGCTTGGCAAAGGGCACAAAAATAGGACCCTCGGCGACACAGGGAGAGTCCTGAGTGGAGAAGCCTTGAAGAATCCTCGCGAATATAGTTTGTGACTAGGACGGACGTGAGTCGTTCGGTGTCGAAGAGAGACGAATAGAAGCGTGTTTTCCGTGTGTTAAAGTTACGTTATTTCGATATTATTTTCTCGCGTTTAATCAGCTTCCGCGTTTGGTGTTCGCTTCATTCTGTTCATTTCGTCCTGTTCGTTTTCGGTGTCTCAAACCGTTTCCTTCGGTAAAGCGAGGAATACATACGCGTTATTTCTGTAAGCTGAAGGCAGAATAAAACCCGTTTTTGGCATCTACGTCATTATTTATTTTTTCTATACATTTTCATTTAAAGGATTTAAAAAGAAAATTGTGAGGTAACGTAGTTATGGGGTTAATAAGGCTTATATCGCATTTCTGAAAAATATATAACGAAGTATGTAGTCAAAAAGTATTAGCAAGTATTACACTTGTTAACACATTCAGCGCTAAATGACCATTTATAGACTTTCGATGAAATGACTCTTAAAAGCACTAGTGACCTATAGTGATCATTTTTAGAATAGAGAATATTTATGAAATAAAATGAAATTGTATAAATAATAATATAACGATGTAAAAAATATATAAGTAATGATATAAAACAAATATATTATTAAAACAGATAAAGAGTTATTTTATTTAATTAAATAGGCGAAGAATTATATT